AGGCAGAATTACGTGGAGAAGGAGATATGGAGAGAGAGAGGTCTTTGATCTGTGTGTTCACTCTTGAAATGGCTGCCAAGGCCAGAGGTGAGCTAATCTGAAGCCAGATGCTAGAAGCTTCTTCCAGGTCTCCCCAGTGGGTGCAGGGGCCAAAGGAGTTGAGCCATCCACCATTGCTTTGCCAGGCCGTGAGCAGGGAGCTGGATAGGAAGTAGAGTAGCCAGGACTGGAAAAGGCACCCATATGGGATGCGAATGCTGCAAGGTGGAGAATTAACTTGTTGGGCTACAGTACCCGTCCAATAATTTCATGTTTTTATTAAACTAAAATTCACATGAGATTCACAATTTTAACATTTTTAAAGTGTACAGCTCACATATTTTTAGTATATTAGCAATGTTGTACGGTCCTCACTGCTCTCTAATTCCAGATTCTTTTCCTCACCCAGAGAAAGGAGTCACCTACTCATTAAGCACACCCATTTCTCTCTTCCCCAGCCCCTGATCACTACGAGTTGGCTTCCTGTCTCTAAGCATTGGCCTAAACTGGATACGCCTTTAAGTGGAGTCGTGTGATATGCAGCTTTTGTGCATGACTTCTTTCTCTAGTATTTTTTTTTTTGTTTGTTTAATTTTATTGCAAAGTCAGATATATAGAGAGGAGAGACAGAGAGATCTTTCATCCGTTGATTCACTCCCCAAGCAGCCACAATGGCTGGAGCTGTGCCAGGAGCCAGGAGCCTCTTCTGGGTCTCCCATGTGGGTACAGGATCCCAAAGCTTTGGGCTGTCCTCTACTGTTTTCCCGGGCCACAAGCAGGGAGCTGGATGGGAAGTAGGACTGCTGGGACACGAACTGGTGCCCATATGAGATCCCGAGGTGAGAACTTTATTATCTAGGCTACCGTGCCAGGACCTCTAGTATTTTCAAGATCCATTATACTGTTGTAGAATGGAGCAATACCTTATTTTTTTTTTAATTTTGTATGTAAATTTTATTTGTACAAATTGTTTTTTCATTAATCACATTGCATTATGTGACACAGTTTTATTAGTACTGGAATTCCCCCCCACTGCTACCCAAACCCTCCCCCCATGGTGGGTTCCTCCACCTTGTTGCATTGCCACAGCTCAAGTTCACATGAGATTTTTTCATTGCAAGCATATACCAAGCATAGATTCTGGCATCTTATTGTCCAGATAAGTTCGACGGCTTCTTAGGGAGACCCTCTCTGGCCTGAAAGTAGAGCCGGCAGAGTATCATCCCGATCAATTAAAAGCCCCAACATAACATCAGCAACAATATATAATGTTATGGAATTAATTGACATAGTATTGAGTAACCAACATGTTTAAAAAAATGCAAGTTCTTTAACATATCCTGCAACTCCTTCATTGACATTTCAATTTTAGTTTATATACAAGCAGGTTCTCTACACCTTAAAATGGTTACAGATTGCTATTCAGCTGTCTCATGTCTATTTTCATTATAGTATTTAGCATTTTATAGCGTTGAAGCATAATTTTGCTGAACTTGGCTTTTATTTTTTTCGGGTAGTCTAGACTGGCTTATAACTCTAATAAGACATATGTCAAGAGTTGAGGTGCTGAACAGTTTTAGGAGGGCTGTACAGAGAAATCTTCAATACCCTAGTGAGGAGTAACTAATCTTTGTGTCCAACCTAGTAAGGTATAAGTGAATCCATGCTGACCGTTTCCTTCTGATTCTAAGCTTTCCTTGTTGTTCTCTATCTATTCTTGAGGTTTTTGTTTGTGTGTTTGTTTGTTTGTTTGTTTTGAGGGGTTTCAGGAGCGATCCTGATGATCATTGCCAGAGAGTGTGGGGACCCCAAGTACCTCATTGCTTTTTATCAATGAACAGCATTTCATTGTTGACATGAATCATATATTGTTTACTCATTAATTTACTAACAGCTATTTCTGTTTTTTACACTTTGGTGCTATTATGAACAGCGCATCTCTTAATGTTCATGTGCAAGTTTTTGTCACATGCCTGTTTTCAATGTTCAGTTTTACAGAAAAGTAGAGCTGCTGAGCTATTTTGTAATTCTATTTTAAACTTTTTGAGGAGACTCCAAATTATTTTTAAGCTGCTGCGTCCTTTTGTAAGATTTCTCATCAGCAATGTATAAGCATTCCGATTTCTCTGCATCTTTCTGATACTTGTTTTTGTCTTTTTCTTAAAGAAATATATTACAGCATCCTAGTCAAAGTGAAAGCTGTATCTCAAGCCTTCTTTTCTGGATAAATAACCCATTAGAAAAAGCACTTTAGAAGAGAGCAGAAAACATGCTCATGTCAGTTTTAAGTCTTCTGTTTCTCTCTCTCTCTCTCTGTCTCTCTCTCTCTCCTCTCTCTCCCTCCCTCCCTGCCCCCTCTCTCATATGTGGGTATGACTGAATTAAGAAGCGTTTTTCCCAAGATAAGCTGCAAATTTAACTTAAGGAATTTCTAAAAGCAAAGCAGTCTTTCACCAGCTCCTATCCCCATTTTGCTGAAGCCAGTGTGATCCCAGCCCAGGCAAGGATCCCGATGGCTGTTGAAATGCCAGTGCCCAGAAACGCGGCCATGTGTTTTTCGACAGTGATTGGCAGAAGCGTCTAAATCATGACAACGCTTGGTAGTAGTTAAATGCTCTTCTGGGACAAAACCCACTCTTGTTTTCTGTTTTTAAGCTTGGAGAACTTTCATCTACTCCCCTCCATATGTGGTATATTTTTTAAAAGAAAAAAAAATGCAGCTAAACCTCAATTCCACATTCAGCTTCGGGTAAGACAATTTGTTTAGGTGACAGCAAGGGTCTTGTGAAATTTCAAACTCCATCTTAGCATCTTTCTCACTGATAATTCAAAGTCCACTGGCTGTGAGAAGTCTCTGCCACTCATTTAGGGTCTGCTGGCAACATGCTAACATGCTACAGATGTTTCCCCCATTCTACAGAACTTAGTTTCAGAACTAATATATGTGACATAGTTACCTGAACAAAGCAACAGACATTGTAAATCACATTTGCTGTGGTTGTTTTTAATGTCTACATCCATTCCTGTATTTTAGATGGTCCGATAGAAACAAATTGCAGGAATGCAGGAGTTTCAGGTCCTTGGTGCAAAACGTACAGAGGCAATAACACTGACAATGTCTGGAAAGGAGGAACTAAGCAGAAGGCAGAGGCAGCAAAGCTTTCAAGTCACTGGGCACGAGGCTGCTGAAGGTCAGCCCTTCGGCGAGCCAGCACGTTCCAGATAAAGACGTGGAAGGACCTTGCAGGACGGAGTCTTGGTTATGAAAAAGAAAGAAGGGGCTGCATGGAATGTGCTTCTTTGGTTGCAAAGCCAAAGAGCCCCTGGGCTGTTGGGGTTGTGGGGGAAGTCCCAGAGGCTGTTTAAACTCATGGTGACTGAGTATCTATTAATTCATTCCCACTCCCATACCAGGAGCCCCCTAAGCCCATGTCCATATCCATGTCTACTTGACTTTTCACACGAACTAGGACCAAGTCACAGATCAAGAGGTCCCAGCAAAGGCTGCCATCCCAGCCTTTCACAACAGGAACCTTAATGTCGTCCAGGTGTGCCTGTGACAGGTCTGGTCATTTGCCTGGCCAGCACTCCTTGGATTTAGAGCATCTGGAGTCCCTGCCTGTCCAGACCTGGACTCCTCTCCGCCCCCACGAGGCCACCAACTCTCCAGGGTACAAAGTGCAGCGGTGACGCTGGAGGAGCTGTTTCAAGCGGCGCAGCTTTATCTTCCCAGAGCGAACACCTAGATGGATTTCCAATACCTCACCAGGCTCCTTTGGGAGAGAGCCTCAGGCTCCTCCAGCGCTCTCAGTCAAGCGTCCTTGCTTCTACAGTTGCGAGATTGCAGTGGGAGGTGCAGGGGGCTCTGGGCACCACACGCTTTTTTTTTTTTTTTCAATCCGCAGTGTTTTCCTCAGGCTTCCGAGTTCTCCCGTCAGCTGAGAGACGCCTGCACGCTAGAACTCAGAATCCCCTGAACGCCCGGCTGCTGTGCTTCCCACGCACAGCGCTAGCAGCTTAGACTCCCTTTCGCCGACTCAGAGAGGTTTGCGTGGGCACCTGCGCTGGGGTCGCTCCTAAAGGCAGTTGGACAGCGCCAGGAACGGCAGCGCGCTCCCAGAACGCACGTGCACTCGGCACCGGGCATCTTCGTGCGGGTCTGGAGATTGCGCTCTCCGGGTAAGGAGGGAGGGTAGGGTTGGAGGCGCAAGGCCAGCGGAGGCGGCGGGAGGTGCGGATTTGGCGTCTCTAGGTCGGGACAGGTGGGGAGCTAAGCTTACTCCCAGAGGAAACAACAACTGAGAACTGAGATGAACTCTGGACATTCATGGTTGGGACCCGCTTCGGTTTTTGCATGGGGTCCGAGAAGGGTGGGATGGGGCAGAATCTCCACCCCTGGCTCGCACCCATTCTCCAGCAAGGCAGAGGATCTCACCAGGTTCCCTGAGGGAGGAGTGAGGACAGAGTGCTGGGAGGGGACCCCGGAAGTGACCGTGGAGTTGAACCTGGGAAGGAAAAATAAATAATAAAATTTGGAGGAGTGGAGACAAGTCACCTGCGTGCCTCCTCCCTCCCTGCCACACTCTGCCCTCTTCCCCCTCCCCCCGCTCCACTTTTTTCGTAGCTGCTGACGTGCTGGTAGTGTTTCTTAATCATTCACCAGCCCAGAGCAGCGCTGGTTAACGGCTGTGCTGCGCGGGTCTTTAGCCTCCTCCTCTCTAAGTCCGCGGATGCCCTGGCGCCCCTGAGCTGCAAGAGGCAGCGCGCAGGCACTGGCTGAGCGATGCGTCCAGCCTGCGCCGATCAGAGCCCTTCTCCCTGCAGCCGCTCCGCTCTACTCCCAAGTGCCAGGTGGTTGTGAGCTATAGGAGAAGGGCTGGGTGCTCAGGGAGGGTGCAGGTGGCGGGGGCGCAAAGACAGCGCCCCTGCCCGGCAATCCCACGGGCTTTCACTCAGCTGGGATGTTCCCCAATGGCACCGCCTCCTCTCCTTCCTCCTCTCCTAGCCCCAGCACGGGCAGCTGCGGCGAAGGCGGCTGCAGCAGGGGCCCCGGGGCCGGCGGTGCAGACGGCATGGAGGAGCCTGGGCGAAACGCATCCCAGAACGGGACCTTGAGTGAGGGCCAAGGCAGTGCCATCCTCATCTCTTTCATCTACTCCGTGGTGTGCCTGGTGGGGCTGTGTGGGAACTCCATGGTCATCTACGTGATCCTGCGCTACGCCAAGATGAAGACGGCCACCAACATCTACATACTAAACCTGGCCATTGCGGACGAGCTTCTCATGCTGAGCGTGCCCTTCCTGGTCACCTCCACGTTGTTGCGCCACTGGCCTTTCGGCGCGCTGCTCTGCCGCCTCGTGCTCAGTGTGGACGCCGTCAACATGTTCACCAGCATCTACTGTCTCACTGTCCTCAGCGTGGACCGCTACGTGGCCGTGGTGCACCCCATCAAGGCAGCCCGCTACCGCCGACCCACTGTGGCCAAGGTGGTGAACTTGGGCGTGTGGGTGCTCTCCCTACTCGTCATCCTGCCCATAGTGGTCTTCTCGCGCACCGCAGCCAACAGCGACGGCACGGTGGCTTGCAACATGCTCATGCCTGAACCCGCCCAGCGCTGGCTGGTGGGCTTCGTGTTGTACACCTTTCTGATGGGTTTCCTGCTGCCCGTCGGGGCCATCTGCCTCTGCTACGTGCTCATCATTGCCAAGATGCGCATGGTAGCTCTCAAGGCCGGCTGGCAGCAGCGCAAGCGCTCGGAGCGCAAGATCACCCTCATGGTGATGATGGTGGTGATGGTGTTCGTCATCTGCTGGATGCCATTCTACGTGGTGCAGTTGGTCAACGTTTTCGCCGAGCAGGATGATGCCACAGTGAGCCAGCTGTCGGTCATCCTCGGGTACGCCAACAGTTGCGCCAACCCCATTCTCTATGGCTTCCTCTCGGACAACTTCAAGCGCTCTTTTCAGCGCATCCTGTGCCTCAGCTGGATGGACAACGCGGCGGAGGAGCCTGTCGACTACTACGCCACAGCCCTCAAAAGCCGCGCCTACAGCGTGGAGGACTTTCAGCCCGAGAATCTAGAGTCCGGCGGTGTCTTTCGTAATGGCACCTGCACGTCCCGGATCACCACGCTCTGAGCTCGCGCTGCGCCTTGGCCCTGCACCCCCGGAGGAGGAGAAGGAGCAGCAGAAGAGTCCCGGTTCCAGAGGGGACTTTATCCCGGGGAGCCAGAGCGCAGCCAGGTTGACCTGAAGCGGGGACACCCGCGCGCCTCGCGTGGAGGGACCTGGGGAAGGCGACTAGAATAGAATCTAGAGTTTTGCATATGGATTGGGGCGATTTCAAGCCGCCCTCTCCGCCTCCACTGCACTCTGCTCTCCCCATCCCGTAAACTCCCACCTTCCTTCCTCGCCGTCCTGAACTCATTAAGGGTGCCGCCTCGGTGTGAGGTCTGGTCCTGTAGCCGAGATTTTTGTTCAAGCTGAGCCACGGATAAGGACCCCGGGGGAGTTCCCTGGCGTGAGTCCCCAGGTCGCCCTTAGCCCCGCGTCCAGCTGGCCGGTTCTGCCTGGTGCCCCCGCGGAGCCTCCGGAACTACCGCCCTCCCCTGGTGCGGCCCCACCAGAAAGGAAGTTGCACTTGGGCATCTACTAGGCAGCTGGTCTTTTCTCTGCCTCCCGGGCGAAAGTGCCTCTTTCCCCGGGCCTTTCACAGCTCCCACTCCACCTAGGGTGGAGCCAGGTGCTTGCTAATCTATGTCGCCACGCTTCGAGCCCCAGGCTTTCTGGCAGTCCCTCCTTCGGAGCGAAGAGGAGCTCAGAACTAGGCCAACGACGAAATGTGTAGAAGATTCCTGGATTTGCGGCTGTGGTGTTGTGTTAGAAATCACCCTCCCGCGGGGCGTGGCGAGGCGCACTTTCTCCCAGGTCCGCCCCAAGCGCAGCCGCCCCTCGGCCTGGCTTCCCTTCTCACCCAAGCTTCGGGAGGAGACAGAGGAAGACAAAAGAGAAGCTCAATTGCCGGCTCCGGTGTACAGCGACAACTTGAATCGGGGGAGATGTGGGATGGAGACCGAGGGTGGTGCCTTTGGAGCTTGGGCCAAGGCGGGATGAGTGTGGCGGCGCCACGCCGGCTGGTTCCACAGCACACCGTTTGCCTGGCCTGTGAGGGTTGTTGCGTTTCAAGCGGTGCCTAAAAGTTATTTCCTGGTTTAATGTATTTATTTATTTGTGACATTGGGGAAAATGTGTCCCTGCTTTCCTTTTCTCTAACTGCCTAACCCCAGGCCTTTCCTTGGGGACCCCCGAGGATGGTGGTGCAGTGGAAAGCTCCACCCCTCATTCTCCCACCCCTCGCCCGGCCTTGCTGGGAGAGCTCCTTTTTACCGGGCGCTTTTTTTTTTCCTATTCCTTCCTGAAGCCTTTCTATTTCTGCTTGTGTCCAGTGAAGTTTGGAGATTTTTTCCTACTTTTATTACTGTCCTCTGTCTTCAGTAAACTACAATGTGGGTTAACCTCCTCTTCAAGCAGAGTGGGAGGTCTTGAACTCCTGACTTTGCAGGACATGTACACAGGGGAAATGTCACCCTATATGATTCAAGTGTGTGTGTGTGTGTGTGTGTGTGTGTGTGTGTGCGCGCGCGTGCGCGCCCACATGTGTTTATATTGATCTTGCTCCACTGTCAATGAGTTTACGAAACCATTCCAAGTACAAGTGCGAGCTTGGTTAGAACACTTCAAGTATTGGATGTCCAACGTGCACTCAGTCCTGAGTCATCTCAGACTTCAAGCACTGCTAAGTGTGGCTTCGCTTCTAGGTTCCAGTAGCAGTGACTTAACGTCATCATTTCTTCAAGGCTGTTGAAAGTGGAATCACTTGGATCTGTGTTTAAATCGCACCAAGGACTTGGGAAGCCTGAGGAGGACAATGACCAATTAGTTCACTTCTTCGTATTTCCTGTGCTGCTTTAATATGCCGGTTTGTACATAATAGGCAGTAAATACATGTCTGTTGGTTCATTGTTTAAACCAAAGTGTATCTGGAAACAATAAATCTGGGGTTCTCAGGTTCTCATTTACATGATACACAATGGTTGCATTCACTACTGAAAAAGATATTTTGTGTGCATTTGCCTCGAGAACATTGTGCTTTCCTGAAAGCAGCAACCAAGAGTTAAAATGCCCTTGATGCTTTGTTTAATGAGCAAATATGCTTTTGGTCATAAATCAGAAAGTTTAGATCTGTCCCACAATAGTAACATATATTACTGTTCCTTTGGAAAATAGATTTTTACTGGTTAATAACAGTGACATTCACAAATCAAAATGGGGATGCTTATCTTCTTCAGAGGATGCAAATATAGAGTTCTGAACCTGTTATATAATATTAACTAAATAAATAAGTGTGTTTTGCGGTTGCAAGTTGTCTCACTTTGCCATTTGAATTTTACTGCTTCAATGGATTACTTGAAAACACATACACACAGTGATGATTTGATTTTAAGAAGAAAAGCAATTATCTCAAGATTGAGTTATTTTCTTCAAAGGGAAGATCTGTTAGTTCAGAGGAAAAGAGAAACAAGAAATAGAGGTTAACTCAGTATGGACAGAAAGCACGCACTGGGTTGACTCTGTTCTCACAGCCTAACTAGACGATACCTCAATTATTCTCTGCTCTCATTTGGACCTGGGACTTTGTTGTGAATCTAAGTAGTTGCTGATTTACATCCCAAGAAAAAGCAAAAGGCAACAACAACAAAAATTGAACAAACACACAAAAAAATCTGCTAAGGATGTTCCAAAGAGCAGTGGACAAAAAGAAATAGAAAAATCAGATTTTAGCATAACCGAAGCACTTACGCTTTGTGCAGTGATGGGCATTTCCAGCTTTGAAAGAAGTTAAGGAGACATAGGGGAGTATTTTCTTTAACACATGTTATTTTTTAGAGCAGTTTTATTTACACAGCAAATATGACTAAAAAGTAGTATTTTCCAGGCCCAGCGTGGTGGCCTAGCAACTGAAGTCCTTGCCTTGAACACGCCAGGATCCCATATGGGCACCAGATCTAGTCCCTGCTGCCCCACTTCCCATCCAGCTTCCTGCTTGAGGCCTGGGAAAGCAGTAGAGGATGGCCCAACGCCTTGGGACTCTGTACCCACAAGGGAGACCTGGAAGAGGTTCCTGGCTCCTGGCTTCAGATTAGTGCAGCACCGGCTGTTGCAGTCACTTGGGGAGTGAATTATCGGATGGAAGAGCTTCCTCTCTGTCTCTCCTCCTCTCTGTTTATCTGACTTTGCAATAAAATAAATAAATCTTAAAAAAAAAAAAAAGTAAGTAGTATCTTCCAGTTAGGCAATAGCCAGGGATCCCAGAACTGGGAGCTGAGGGTAGGGGGTAAGGTGGGGTAGGATGGGATTGCATGGAGTAAGGTAGGGTGGGAGAGCGGGGTGGGAGAGAGAGTAGTGGAGGGAGGGGTCAGGATGCGTGGGTAGGTTGTCATTTGAATGCTTCAAATGCCTTGTAATGTTAGGCTTCCTATACCTGAAGAGAACTTTAACTTTAAGGTATTTATCTTAATGTAACTAAAGATAGCTGAACTTTTGCTTTTTTTTTTTTTCCCAAAACTAACAAAGTGGCAAATTAAGCTCATAACCTGGATGGGCAAAGAAAATAGACTTCATTCTTTAGGTTTTAATGAATCAGAATTTTATCCTGAGAGGAAAAATTAACTTTCAATTTCTATTATTGATCTTATAATCAAAATAGTCATTTAAAGCATTTTCCAAATTTCATTGGAATGTTTGGACAGTTTCTCAGGTGTACTCTATTTTATTTTTAACCCCCTAAAATAGAGTTACTGAGTATATATGAACTCTAGTAGAGGTTAGGGTGAGGAGGCCTCTGGGGAAGGGGTCTTCTTTGTCTTCCTCTCTCTGGACCCAAGTCATTTGTCCAGGTGGCACCTTCCTGGCTCAAGTTTGTTGACATCACCTTGGTGATTGCCACATGTCAGCTCCTATGGTCTGCAGCCCAGAAGGGTCTTCCCTGATCCCTACTGAGCTTGCCAGCACAGAGGTCAACCCCAGGCTGTGCTGAGAAAGGACCTCACCCAACTGGCATTGCCTTATGACCTCTTGGCTCAGAAATAGGGGAAATAGGGTAGCTTTGAACTGGTGACTCTCAGAATTGTCTCTGATCATTTCTCTCCATGTTCCTGTGGCTGCCTCAGCTCTTTCGCATCCTTGTTTGTCAACCTCATTTGCTAAAACATTACACTCCAATGTCACCTTTACACTAGCAGGAAAAACACAGGACTCTTTCAGTCTTAAGACTTGATGGACTGGAGCATAAAAATGTATTTAGTAAATATCCACCCATGCCCCAAACACACTCTTAAGTTCAAATATTTTTTTTGTATTGCCTTGAAGTTGAAAGTGCTGTGCCATCCTAAGGCAAGATGCCTCACCTCACCTCAGAGGGAGAGACAGAATGAAGCATGATTTATAGAGGGAATTAAGTTGCACCAGTTTAGTACATGTGAGATGTCTTCTTACTTCTGTGTTCCTGGAGTAACATTTCCCAGGCTATGTTCTCACACAATTCTCACAGGGAACACACTAGACAGCCTCTGATGCCCCATCCATGATAACCTGATCATTATACAAAGTGTTGAATGTGTAGTTTTGCCCTAAGGATAAAAAGGCAATAAATTCTCTTAGGAAACCTTCTGGAAGGTTAATTTTTTTTTAAAAAAGGTAATGTATTTCCAACCCATTTTAAACAAATCACAGATTGTCATACCTACAGCAGTTTTCTAAAAGGACATTTTAGCAGTGGGTTACATCTGACAAATCTGGTGTATTCCTTCCTTTGGAAGTACGTTGGAGAGGTCAGATACTAAGCTGAAATGACTGATAGATATTTCCAGAATTATCTGTTATTGTGATAGGTGCTTTTCAAAATGTAACATCCCTTATCACAGTGTCTACTTGAGTGTTGGTTACACTGTTTTTCATTCAGCTTCCTGCTAAGGCATCCTAGGAGATATCAGATAATGAGTCCAGACCTGGGGTTCACGGACATGGAAAACCCAGTGGAGTTATCGGATTCTTTTCTCATGCTGGCCAAGTGCTGGCCT